CAATTGTTCTTTATTTATTCTGTTTCTATATATCAGGTCGACAAATATAAAAAGGAGAATGAAACTCCGAAAGAAAACACAAGCATGCATGATGAAAGTTGTAATATGTTTTACGTTTACCAATAAATTTATTATATGTATTGAATAAAGTTCTGTTGAGCTTGAAATAAAACATACATTTCTATTTTAATGACAAATTTCTTAAAATAGCTTACAATTATATTATCTGTAAACAAGATAGAATACATATCTATAAAATTTAATGTCTTTATTCAAAAGAATTAAACTTAGAAGACTGAATCCATACTACGAGAAAAAGTATGCGATTACACAATGAGTGATTGTATTGTGCATTCTTCAAAATGAAAGAAATATTTAATAACAAATATTAACAAGCAATAATCTCCTTCCGAATAAATTTTTATCAACTTCAAAAATCTATTTTATTTACTATTTATTCTGCGGTAGCTATATTGAATAAAACGTAATTTGTTAAACCTTTGTACAACAAGGTGATGAACTTCAGTTTCAACTTAAGACAGATACTATGCCAGACGATTTTGCGAATGAAAAGGATGGAAACGTTTTACATCAAAGTCAGACTAAAGTATGTACCATTGTTTGACTAAAGTTTGTTTGAATGGTTGTTATAAAAGAGTATGTTTATTTTAGCAATAATTCAATAATTAAAGTGAAATCATGCACATTTTTGTAATTGTCAACTTTAGTTGAATTTAGTACATATTTAAACAGATTGAATGATATTATGATGTAATGGTGAACGTGATGGATGTTTACAAAAAATTTCTTTGACCACGTGGGTTGTTTGTCGTTCGTGCAAAGAAAATGATAAAGTTGAAAGGAATTATGGCAAAACATAAACTTTTTTTAGAAGTTAACCTGTTCATTTATTATATAACCTTGGATTAATATAATGCCACTAAAGGATTAATTTTGTTTCTGTTTAAAAAAGGATACAATTAAAGATAATAATTTAAATTATATCAAAGGAAATATTTATCAAAAAGACAATAAGGAGTTTGACAAAGGAAATGATGTAGTTGTCCTTATTTGATATATCAGATGTAATTTCATAAGGAATTCAATATAGTTTTAATCGCTTTTCAAAAACAATATCATAAAGTGTTCTATATTTATTCTGTTTATATACACCAGGTCCACAAAAATAAAAAGGAGAATGAAACTCTTAAAGAAAACACAAGCATGAATGAAGAAAGTTGTAATATGTTTTACGTTTATCAATCAATTAATTATATGTATTGATTTAAGTTCTGTTAAGTTTTAAATAAAACTTACATTTCTGTTTTAATGAAAAATTTCTAAGGATAGCTTACACTAAAATTATCTATAAACAAGCTAGAAAAAATATCTATAAATGTCTTAATACTGAACTGAGTCCATACTACGTAAAATAAAATTTGCGATTACAACAACAATCTGCGATTATATTGTGCATTCTTCAAAATGAACAAAAAGCAAGATTTTATACCCTTTGCGGTTGCATCGTGTTGCAAATGGTTTGTCCGAATAAGAAACAACAAGTGTAATCATGCAATAATTTCCTTCCGAAATAATTTTAAACTTCAAAATTCTATGTACGAATTCATCATTTTTGCTAGTCATTATGTGGTTTTGATTTTGAATAAAACATTGTAAATTGAAAAATATTTCAAATCTCATTATTTTACATGATTAGTACATCAAGGTGATGAACAGTTTCAACAAAAGATTGATACTATATCAGACGATGTTGCAAATGAAAAAGGTGGAAACGTTTCACATCAAAGTCAGACAAAAGTACGTATCAGTATCAGACTAAAGTATGTTTAAATGATAATAATTAAAGAGTATGATTATATAGCAATAATTGAATAATTAAAGTGACATCATGCGCACTTTTTCATTGTCAATTTGAGCTGAATTTAGTACACATTTAAACAGATTGAATGTTACAATGATGTAATGGTGAACTTGATGGATGTTTACAAAAATTTCCTTTGACCAAGTGGGTTGTCTGTCGTTCGTGCGAAGTAAATGATAAAGTTGAAAGGAATGATGGCAAAACACAAAATTATTTAGAATTTTACCTGTTCAGTCATTATACAATCTTGGATTAACATAATGCCACATAAATTATTATTTTTGTTTCTGTGTAAAACATAATAAGGATACCGATGATAATTTAAATTATCTCAAAATGAATTTTATAATGAAAATATTTATCAAAAAGATAATGAGGAGTTTGACAAAGGAAACTATAATGTATTTTCCTTATTTTATATATTAAATGTAATTCAATAAGGAAGTCAATTTTTTTTCTCGATTTTCGAAAATAAATGATTAAGTCTTCTATATTGATTCTGTTTCTATACATTAGGTCCACAAATATGAAAAGGAGAATGAAGCCCTGAAAGAAAAAATAAGCATGCATGAAGAAAGTTGTAATATGTTTTATGTTTAATAATTAATTATATTTATTGATGAAAGTTCTGTTTAGTTTTGAAATACAACTTACATTTCTATTTTAATGACACATTTCTTAGAATAGCTTACAATAAAAATATCTGTAAACAAGCTAGAAAAAATAAATATAAATGTCTAAATACTGAAAGATTGAAACCATACTACGAGAAATAGTCTGTGATTACAACACAATGAGTGATTATATTGTGCATTCTTCATTATGAAAGAAAGATTTAATAACAAATATTATCATGCAATAGTCTCCGAATTAATTTTTATCAACTTCAAAAATCTATTTTATCTTGTTATTCTGTGGTAGTGATATTGAATAAAACGTAATTTGTGATGGCTTTCAAATCTAATTCGTTTACATGATTTGTACAACAAGGTAATGAACTTCAGTTTCAACTAAACACTGATACTATGCCAGACGATATTGCGAATGAAAAGGATGGAAACGTTTTACATCAGAGTCAGACTAAAGTATGTATCATTGTCTGACTAATGTATGTTTGTATGGTTGTTATAATAACGTATGATTATTTTAGTAATAATTATATATTTGGCATCATGCTAGTGTTTCATTTTCAAGTTTAGCTAAATTGACTACATATTCAAAAATGATTGACTATTATAATGGTGATTGACGAAATAATTAATGTGTACAATATTCTTACAAAAAAATATAAATCTGTCTAATATATAAAAAGACTTCGCCACTCTTTTATAATTCTATATTACCTTATTCTTACAGAATATCACTTTTATTAGGATTCTCACCAGATTTGATATATTAAATGTGAAAAACTGATATAATATTTATGAATAAACTCATACCAAACATTCTTTTTGCTTTTTCATTAAACTTGAAGAAGTTTTCTTTGTGAAAAAAGAGTAAAAATCGTTTTGATTACATTCAAGGTGTTACAAAATATACATATACATAACTATGTACTTATTATGAATATGTACTAAAACATATCATGAAACACATTTAAACATTGTAATGTAAATGAAATCATTAAAAGACTATATTACTTACGCTAACATTGTCTTTATTCATGTACACAGAGCAAATGTGCAGAGAATGACATTCAGCAATATTTAGACGGATACCCTGTAAGTGTTATTACTGTATATACTCTTTGATTTATTTTTTTGTAATCGCTACGATTGAAATTAATGTTAACAACTTTAATACGATGCACCAAACCTTAACCTGCTGTGTGCGAAATTAAAGTGATTCGTCCTCGCCAAAGTAGAGTCAGGGTAGCCTGCACAATCATGCATTTTAACAACGTTCCGCTCGTTGTTGTTGTTGACACAAATGTTGTATTTTGTGATTTAAATACCATCACTGTGAATAGACTGTTACATATTCATAGCAAAACAAATCCATTACACACATTCAGTAGTTGAACTACATAAACGAAAGCTGACTCATTTTTAAACTACTAACATTTTATCAAAAGTTGATATTAAGGGTATTTTATTATAATGACTCATTCATCTCGAAATGTATGTTGCTTTTATTCGAAACAACTACTTAGTTATTTATCAAACATTTGAAACTTATTATACTTTAGTTTATTACCTTTTTACTACATGTATGCCGCTAATTAAGTATAAGTAACTATTTTATTTTTTATCTCTAACCAGGAAAAATGTAACTTTGAAATGACATGATGTAAATGTTTTTCAGGATCAAGAGGATGATCTTATGCGGGAAGAAAATTACAAATTCTTCATGGATGAGATTCCTTCACGACCTAATGGTATTATTTTATCTGTTATAATTTCAATTGATAACAACCAATTTGGTTATATTAAGTTTCTTTTTGTGTAATAGTTGAGAAAGTAGCATCTGTTATGTCTTCAGTGGTTAAAAGTAATTAACAGTTACAAGATGTACCTATAAAGGATTCAAATCGATAACAAGACAAATATAATAACTGGGCCTGCATCACATCGCTTAACATATGCTTTTGTTTGTATAACATTTTTGTAACGGGGAGCTTCACCGAAAACAATAACAAAAAACTATTTCAAAGTCTTGTTGTAATGACTCTGTTTTTATCTTATAGGTGATTACATTGATACTATTCATAACGAATGGTGGGGTGATTATAAAAGATTAGAAGACAATCGAAAATATATGCAGTGGTAAGTCAGTCTGTAAAGGTGCATTTTAATCAAATATTTTACTTTAACTCACAGGACTTTCAGTCTTAATTGTTCTCTAAACATTTTGCAGAAGGGTTGTGTGGCATTTACTTTGCCTGTATATTCGACCTATAGATCTATACTTATATTTCAATTTAGATTTTTAATCTTTTACACGTATGAATCATTACTTAGGTCACATACAATGAAATATTTTCATGAGGAAGAAAAGGAAAAAGATATATACAACTTATATGACTATTATATTTGTTTTCATTCAAAAATTTATAAATGAACAAATGGAAACAGTTTTTACAGATATTTTCTTGTACTAATAGGTTGTTTCCAGTAAGAGCAAAGAGCTGTAATAGACAAGCCCAGGAACTATTTCCTCATGAAATAAAGGTATACATTGAATTTTTTGTATATATTTATATTCAAAAAAGGTGTCCTCAATTAAAGATTTACTCAATTGTTCGTGATTAATATCAAGTATCTTCGGAACATATCATAGTATGTAAAACAGAACAATAATGGAAAGCTTTGTTAAAAGTTCTGTAAGTTATACAATGTTCTTTATGGATATCCCTTTAAAAATAAATCACTCACTAGTAATTTAAAAGTTGGGTTTTTTCCAAATATCGTGATATTCGGGACAATATTTTATGTGGTAAAATAAGGCCCTGTTTCAGAATAAAATTAAACATTTAATTATATAATTTCAAAACCATAAGATCTTTTATTAAAAAACACCCTATATATCTCTTAAAACTTCAGTTATGCTTTGGAATAATCATTATTTTCTAATCTAAACAATTATTTGAAGTAAAGGAATATTGTTTTCTATCACATACTAATATTTACTTTTATATAATTTAAAATAAACTTATCGTATTTAGATGAACAATTCACAACTTATTTTTAAAATGGTGATGCATTTTCTTATGAAATTTGCAATTGGTTGCTTTTATGTAAGAATGTTATTTTTGAAAAACATATGGCTTCTTTGTAAAGGTAAAAAAAAAGTCAATATTTTTTAAAATATAACCTTAATATCATGACACGTCAGTACTTTTATATCATGAAAAGTGCAAATATAACGCTAAATTAGGAGTGACAAAGCTGTATTTCAATAATAAAAAAGAATTTGAGTTCCTGTCGCTTGTATTTTGAAGGAAAAAAAATGATTTCAGTTAGCTTTATGACATGACGGGACATATTTTCCGGGATTGTTTAGCTATTTTATAAAGGTCATAACCAATACCTTGGGTGCAATTTTCTTAGATTATTCCCTCACCACTATAATCATATTTATGTGCGAATGATTCAAGAATTAAAAACGTTGCAACTGTGTTCACACACATCTGAATAATAATTGCACTTACTTTCAATTTTCATGTAAATTCTAAGTATATTTCGTGACTTTTCGTTTCATTTCTTACCCCGATTTTTATGCTCCACTTGATCATGTTAAAAAGTTGTATATTTTATTTACTTATGTGTATATTTTAACATTGCAAAAGCTCTAATAGATTTAACTATTAAACATTTCAAGTTTTAGATTTATTATAAAACACCAAAATGTTCAACATCATTTTTTCTTTTGAACGGATTGATTTTTTTTTAAATTATAGTTATCAACAACATCAAAAATATAAAACTCACATGATTTAATATTGACGTCTTTTAAAACAAATTTATTTACTACAGAAAATTTGTGATTGTAAGGAGGCGCAAGATAGACTTATACTATCGTACAAGATGATGCTAGACTTTTATGGAATGCAACTAGAAAACGAAAAAGATGGTACAGTTGTAAGATCAGATAACTGGGAAGAAAGATTTGCAAATTTAAATAGGTGCTATATTTTGTTTTCAAAATAATTTTTAACGTATTACCAATAATTTTCAAAATGCGACAAATAGACACTGTCATATTTATTTCATTTAGTCTAATTTTGTCACAGTTTCATTAAACACCAGAAACAAGTTGCTTGCTAAAGTGCAAACCGTTTTTCTTTTCGTTTAAAAGTTGATTGGTCTTAAATGAACACAATATTTTCATTACTACTTCAAATATTGAAACAAACAGTAGAAATATATTCATTGGTTATAACTACACAATATTACAAAATATTTCTTTGGAACAAATGGTGATATTGTTCTAAGTTAATCAACGTGAAAATTGTAATTGTGAATTTATAATATTACAAAACCTAGCATAATAGTCCACTTCACTTGTATTCGAATAATATTTATTCTTTTCCTAAAATTACAATATTCAATCACATGAATAATTATACCTTCCAGAATATTTTAATTCTATTTCAAAGCAGGCGATTTTTCATAACAACCAATGAAAAAGTAGTCGTTAGGCACGCGTAAATATTTTGCATGCAAATTTGATGATGATTATAATAATTGATTTATTTTTATTTTCAGATCGAAGCACAATCATAACAGAATAACAAGAATTCTGAAATGTCTGGGTGAACTAGGATTTGAACATTTGAAAAAGAACTTTATTGAGTTTATTTTAGTTGAAATATTAGAGACGAAAACCCTCGTGTACTTGCAGGAAAGTTGCTGCAATTACTGGATTGCAATTTTAAAAGACCCAAGTGAGAGAGCGGAAATGAGAGTCTTTTACGAACAGCTTATTAAAAATATGTCTGATTCTTTGACATAGTGAAAATGTTTTTTTTAGGAATGTGTTCTTTATTCTAATTATAATGTTAGTAAAATCTAAATAATTGATACTTATTATTTGTATGGTCTTTAAATTGAATCTGATAAACTAACCATAGACATTTTGTTTACCGTCAGACATCTAGTACCTAAACTTGCTTAGAAATGGTAACAAAACTGTGATATCGATTTACGTGTAAATGCACAATATAAAAGTCTTAATGGGTCCAATTAGACCTTTACTTTGAGGGTACTTACTTGATATTTATGCTTTGCATATGGTGTCATAATGGTGATCAATTTTGCGCAGTTATTTTTAAAACATTGCAGCGATTTAATTGTTATAGAGCAGACACAATATGTAGACTTTTAATACTTGACCTTTAAGTGTGACCTTGATCTATGGGGTAGCAGCCAAATTATTGCGCTCTGCACATCGTCTTATAATGGTGATTACTTGTGCGTCCTCAATAGTTTTATTTCAGTTCATTTTTACCCGCAATGTTTTTCCCCATAAATTGTCATCTTAGATTTAAACAATGTTACTTACATTATGTTATTTTAATCAAAATGGAATTTGATTTGAATAGGAATTTATGATAAAACAAAGATTTAGTAGATACTGTACAATAATTCCACGGAGAATTTTGCAACTGTAAACTAGTCAAAAGTTCGTTTCAATCGTCTTATGCCCGGTTCGAGAAGAGAATATAATGACTAGAACAGCTTAGAAGAGAAACTCAATCGAACGTAAAAGTATCAAAAAGGCAATCTGTCATATTTAATTTCATATATTTATTGAAAAAGTGCTAGAAACATGTAGAAAATATTTATATTTATTCTGACATATCTTTATCCAACAATTCTTGTGATCGCGCAATCTAACAGACCTCTACCTATAACGGAAGCTCTTCTAAAGTATCAATCGAACAGGCTATTAATGTTAAAATGACAAATGAAAATTCTGCCTAGTATATTTATTTCTTTACTGGCAGGAACCAATTTCCGGACAATACCAGTTTCCGGACAAGTATTATAACGGCTTAATTTTGGCTTTATCGATGACGATTGGGTATTATATATCATGAAGATGCTTGGTTTGATTGTTTGAGAAAATAAATTTCATTCCAATTTGATACATCATTAAAATTTCGTGAGGATACCTTACCTGTGTTTTAAAAACAGCCTTATATCCCTTTGGGGCATGTAATTTGTTCTGCGCATGCGCAATATTTTGTTTATTTCGGGATATAATTTGGGGTAGCAATTAATGCACAATGTACATCATTCGAAGTTCATTGGGTGTAATTCCCCAGAGCTAAATCTGTAACGTATCGGAAAAACGGTCTGTTTAGCTAGATTTACTCCACTTTTCGCAACTTCGTTGCTGCCGTACACACTAAAATATCCGTTTCACTTTTCAGTCATTCGAGACCCATCACGTGATCGTTATGTTTCCTATCATAAACATTTTTCAGTAAATCAGCTTAATTATATAAGAAAAGCTAATATGTGAGAAGAAATTTGTTGTTACATTAAATAATTATCAGTTTAAAAACAGATATGAATAGCTACTAAATATATGTCCGGAAACTGGTTCTGCAAGAGTGAACAATTTACACTTTTGATGACCTAATTTAACCCTTCAGTTTGTATATTGCCTACGTCACCAGGCAGTATTAATTATGTTATCGGACGTAGTTAGAGCTCAGGTTTTTGGTAATGTTAGTTTTATTAATGCATGTTTATTATTAAAAAGTAGACAATTAAAAAAAACTCGAATTTTGTCCGGAAACTGGTTCCTGCCTAGTACTGTTAATTTTAGCGGAAGTCAAGGTGATATTAGACGGCCTTCGGCCGAAAAACATGTCAGCGTTTGAAAGTAATGGAGCGAACAATTAAGTATTACAGACGGACGGGCGTAGGGACGGACGGACTGACGAAGGCCACTCCTATAATCCCCTCCCCGCTTTGATTAACTTGCGTTATTTATTCTGAATAAAAAGTTGTTTTTGTCTTTTTTACAACCCAATTTATCATACGCGAATTAAAGATTATCAAGTCAATAAAGTAATCTATGGTTAAAGTTATATCAGTTGTAGAATTAATTTTAAAACATTTATTAAACATTTCATGTCATAGCATAAGCCATAGATATTACATTTTTTCTTCTTACTTTTTGTAACACAAATGTATTTTTCAACACAAGTCCAATAAGTTTAGGTGTATGCAATCTTTATGTTGTACCCAACATAACTGCCGGTATAAGTTTATAAGTTATGTATGGGATTTAATGATTGTATTATTATATACTGTACGCATTTTATAGATAACAAAGCGTTGGATATATACATACCATTATTGCTAAAGTTATCATTCGAAATAAGGTTGAAAGAAGAAGAAAATACTATTATAGATGTTACATTGGTTTGTGTATCTTTAGAGAGATATCTTGAGATTGTACTCGTATAAGCACACATATTACCCACAAGGAGTGTACTGTTCCATTTACGAGATGCTAGGAAAAATTATGAGCAAATGAAAATTTTCCAATCTCAAACAAGTTCCTTTTGAAGAAACTAAACTGCATAAAGAACAATGAAAGTGATATTATTATGAAAATTCTTTTGAAACATGTTATCCTTTGTCTCTGTAAGACTGACACACATGCTTAACTCAAAATGTATATTTCTTATTGGAAAAAGGACCATAAACACAGCAAACTCGTCCATGCCTTATTCCATCAGACAATTTTTTTTTAAATCAAAATATTCACTTCGTCAATTTTATTTCTGTGTAATATATGCATGTCATTCAGACAACTTTTTGTCAAATCTTTATCATATCTCTTGTATTTTCATAAGTTTCAAGATGTTGTAAATGCTTTATCCAACACAGGAAAATCCTAGATTTAACAAGAAAATAGGGCTGGCGAATTCGTATAAAGTTTCACCTTAAAATTGTATATTGTGTGTTTGATAATTTGAACATAAGAGTTGTAAAAGAATATCAGGAAAAAACATATAAAAAAGGATTTAGTGCACTATTAAATTCGGATTCAAAATGAAGGTCTGTGCTACGGTACACATGAATAAAAGTTGTCTCTCAAGATAAAGCAAAGAAGGAAACAACGCAGGCGATCCATCATGTCCATGAAGGTTCTAAATGTCATATCGGTAACAAATGGGTCAAACACTCCATATACCTGAAATGAACAAAATGAACATTCATAGATTTGTATGGTATTTACTTTCTAATTATTTTTTTGAAATCTTTTAACAAAGGTAAAGTAAACGATTGATGAAACTTTTTTTTTATTTTATTTATTTTTATTTTTTATTTATTCATTTCATTTTTTTGTTTTAAAAACTTTTAATATTAAATAATTTTTTTTTTTTGAAAAAACCTTTGCAATTTTTTTTTTTGTGGGGGTTTTACTTCCACCGACAAAGTATGGGTCAAGGCGAAGTTCCAGCAAGACCTCAGGTCCCCCCGTGATAATTTCAGGACAAAGGGGAACCTAAGCAGAACAACCGACTTTTTCGTAAGCTACTGGAATTTCCTCACAGAACCCAAAGTTGTCGGTTTTTGAATCAAAAGCGGTAAAAGGAAGGGTTTGTAGTAAACGATTAACCACTTCCCATTCCCCCCCTTTGCCCCATACAATTAAAAACTGGCAATTACAAAAAAAAAATTTTAATACGGATTTAGTTGAAATACCTCCACTTTCTGCCACACAAGTGTCAACGCTCATCTTGAAACCAGAACTACATCGGCATGTATTTGTCTTTTCGTCACATTCAGCATTAGCGCCGCACTCCGTACCTTTTGGTGGCGTGCATTGTTTGCTGTCTAAGGCTTAAACATAGTTTAACTGTCATTATAATGAAACTTTAAATTATACAATTGGTGATGCTCTCAAATGCAAATAAGTCAGTCATGTAAAACAAAATGATTCATATTTTATCCTAAAATCATTTAGAATATGTTCACCTTTGTTAATGTACAAGTTATAAGTTACTGAAAACCTCATATTACTAGGCTGCATCAACTGATTTCAGTTCAAATGTTTCCTGCCCTATTGTTTTACTTTAAATCACTTGATGTTTCGATTTGTGTAATTTTGCAATTCTTTGCATAATAGCATAAATTATGCAACATATATGAATTAAGATATAAAAAAATCGTATATTAGTGTTATCAAAGCGTTATTTGTTTATAAATAAAACCACATTACGTATTTTATTCCTATATCTTGACGGTAAACTCATCAAAGCTTACTTGTGTTGTTAATAAATTAAAATTTTCTTATTACTTGCAGTACACACGTTGTCTTTTTCTCCAAAGTGTTCAGCACATTCGCATAAAGTGTTCTTGCACACTGAATGAGTGTCACCAGGACACGCAACGCTTCCCGTACAGTGTCCTCCGATGACTACATGTAAATATTTTGAAAAATAGTTAGTAGTATCGACAGTAAATGCCAAGTACTTTTTCTAGCCCCTAATTTAAGTTGCTGTTTTATTTTGTTCATTAATAAATAGCGTAAACTGGTGATTATCTATTTTTTATTAAGGTTAATATCGGCGTCATAAGTTAATCTCTTGAAAATACAATGCATGATATAATCTGGATACCATCTATTATTCTCAACAACCAGCAGGTATAAAACTGTATGATAAACACACTCCGACACAAACTTTTGTAAAAGATGTGTGTTATAATTACACCCAGGCTTTACCAATATGCTTCAGTTAGTCAATACTAACACGCTGTGTTCCCCTACGGTGACAATTAACGTTAGTTTAGTGTTATAGTTATGCTGGTCAATAATGTGGAAATCGAAAATGTTAAGGCCAGATCGGTAATAATTGCTTCATGGGCCATACAAGATATAAGCAAGTTAGGTAAGGTACTTATGAAATCTTGAAGTATGCTAATAATTATTCAAATTACTTTTCAAACATGTGTCAGCATTGTTCTTGAACCCTGGTTTACAAGCGCATACCGATGAAGTACAAACGGAATTTTCTAGTGTGCAAACAGTCGACACCGTTGCATCTGTGCATGATTTGCCAATTACTAAAATGTAGAAAGAATAAAAATTAACTAGAAATTAAAATAAGATTTACCACCAAGCATTTATGTATATGAATATGTATGTTTATATGTATATATAAATGCTTGTCTTTAATTGAATTTGGCATTTAGGTTATATATCTACAGCTGAAGCGATATTCAAATAACACAATAAAACAGAGATGGGCATAAAGAAATCCGGTCATATCTAAACAGCATTGTTGGAATACCATTTTGATTTACTATATGCACCACAACATATGGTTATACGTGGATGCATTCAATTTGTTAATTCTAGGGTGATAATAGCTCCATTCTATTAAAATAGAATAAAGAATACAAATGTGCAATATTAAAGGCATGGTCAACAATTGGAAGAAAATCCTGTAAGCAAGATAAATAATTTTATAGTCTTAATATAAAATAGTCTTCAGAATATATCAAGGCGTGAAGAAGAAAAAAACAACAGGAATATTTAAACAATCTAAGAGAAATGTCCTGGGAAAATGTGTTCTTCTCAACATTTCAACATAACATAAATATGAATAGTTCACCAATGTGGTAATTTTTTTCGTAACTAAAACAAGCATATTGAATTGATCTAAATTGGAAATGTAATTACAAAAAAATTAAGTAATGACCCAAATTATTACCATTCTTAATACAAACCCCGGCATGTGGTTTGTATCCTGTATCACATTGACATTTTGTTGTCGCGCATGTTAAATGATTCGTGCTTAAACAATCTGCGGCATCTTTACAAGTATCATTAACCGCTGAATTGTTCCACAAATAAAATCTTGTTCAAAATCAAACGTTATTTAAACATTTCCCATCAAACAATTATGAATTGTTATAAGTACACGATGAAATATGTGCTTAGTGAAATAAATGGTCCTCAAACAACTGAATATCCTTTAATAAAAATACAAATATGAACATTTATCTTAATTCACACATCAAAATATTTATTTATGAATATCACCAATATCGATATAATAAAGATATTGCTCTTTGTATAAACAATGCTATTTCAAAGCTATAATTATCATTTATTTAAACATGTATCATAGAAGTGTGGGTTAAACTATTCATTTTTTTATCAACATTTTTGCTAGTAATTTGTTTGTTAGTCTTTGTTGTTGTTGTAGCTTTTCTTCAGAATTACTGTCATAACTGTTGTTTATTTACACTGTACAGAATGACACAAGCAATGTACTTTCTTTTAGTAGTAGAGAATAAAGAATATTGATTTACCGTTTGGAATACATGCCCCAGCCTTTGGTTTATACCCTTGCACACATTGACATTTTTGTGTATTTGCTGTATCGCATGTTAAATGATTTGCACTCAAACGGTTTGGGTCATCTGTGCAGGTATCATTTATACCTGAAATGTTATCTAAGCAATTAAGTTACGAATGAAAGTTTACAAGGCACTAAAACCCCTTCAACAAGCAGAACACGTTATCAAAATGGGTCAGAATCGAAAATAAATGATATTTGATAACAGTTAAGAAATTTTAGTGTTTAAAGAAAACTATAGATTAAAACACAGCTAAATTTCTTTTAGTGCCAACATGAATTTTATCCTGCAATGTGTATTTGAAAAAAGTTTTTTCTATAATTAATGAAACGTGACGTAGCATGCCTCCAAATGTGTGCTTATTTCCATGAAAAGTTTGAAAATATATTTAATAGCAAAACATACTGAAGTGGACTTAAAAAGTACTTTACACATTGCAAAAGCCATTTGAAATGTACATAAATTACAAAAACATTAATGTATGCAAATATTCCCTTAAATGCGTGTAAGGAAATGTGGTTTTAAATACTTAAAATTCAGTCAATAATCGCACGGAAAATATAAATTATTACTTATATTTTGAATCTTTTTACTTTTATTGAAATGTATTTGTCTCAAGTCATATTTTCTTAAATATTTTGGTTCATCTGGATGGAGGTATGCAGCTTTAAGAAGACGGGTGTTTCATCCAGAAATTAATTAGTTCTGCTTCCGAAGCTCAATAAGCGTAAGTTGTTTTCCAGGGGCCGCTGGAACGATCCTTTTGCGAGACGAAATTGATAAGTGACGATCGATTTCGGATATTGAGTGTTATGATCATTTGACTATCATCACTACTTTTGACATCATGTAGGATAGATACGTTAACGCTCATTTGTTGAGAAATCGGTAATTTCTGGTAAGTTTGTTTTAAAACAAAATGTCTGTCCGGTGGATCGGCCGCCTAGATACATGTATGACCAAACATGTGATAAGAACAGAAAATAGCAACTTTCTTTTCATATTGTAACACTTACGAAAAACAAAAATTATAAGCAAAAATACCGTTTAGGACGCATGCTTGATTGACGGTTTTAAAAGCTGTATCGCACTGGCATGTTGTTTTGCAAGTAGCATTGGCTACATTTGCACACTCTGTTGCAGCCGTGCATGACGAACCGAGACCTGAAATTATTATTAGTATGAAATTTAACATTATAAAGCATACTGTTATACAAAATATTGTTTAGAACACGTGACACATGAAAATATCATTACGTTATTTGTATAAAACAGTCAGTTTAGAATGATTCTGTCACTTAAACATAATTATATAAGAAAATTGGTATTTCCATTTCTGAATAACCGTTTTTGTAACACGGGTAATCTTTAAAGACATTTATGTATGATATTCACAATTTCAAAGATAATTTTCTAATATTTTCATTTAACACATAAAGCTCAATTATACTTAGTCATTTACTTCCATTTTTGTACCTTGAGATTTCCGTATAAAGTGCACATGCGTTGGTTTTATGGTCTTCTTGAGGTATAACAAATTTGCAGAGTGACATGGACATATGAAATATACGTCTTATTTGAGGAAAAAAGTAGATGAATTTAATTTTATATATGCTCTTGATTTTTTTTTAAAAAGCTAAGATGAGAAAGTCTTATACTAAACATTCCTATCAAATAAGATTATTTGTATTATAACACGAGATGCAATAAAGAAATGTACTATATTTAAAGATTGTTTAGGCAAGATGAAAATTATGAAAAATTAATGCAGTGTCGGTTTACACAAAAAATGAGAAGGCAATGAAACGCTCTCTGAATACATCAATCGGAAGCAGAGATTGTGTCCATTATCTGTCCGTAAATTTAGCAATTTTGTTTTAAAACTTATAACCTGCACAGCAAATGTAATCAGGTAGTCCGAGTAACACGGCTATCAGCTGACATCCAGTCCAGGGTATGATGTTCATAATTTGGCTTTTAGGTGTCTAAAATAAAAAGATAAAACATGTTGCCTAGATAATAAAATCTTGATCATCCATGAATGGATATATATTAGTTTTACACCAAACGCACACTAAAGCTCGACGTCAAGTCATTATCATAGTATTATTAGAGATTTCAAAATCTCATAATACTTTTAAGGAAAATTAATACAAAAAAAAATAATGCCAGATTTTGTAACTAATTATGAACTTAAACGTATTGTTCTTTATAGTAAAATCTTTATCAATTTTGTAGGTACATATAACCGGTGTTAATTCAGAATCTATAAGTAATTAACTATCACAATGAATATAATACATGATAGCTACAGTACGCACAATTGAAAACATAAAAAGAGAATAAAGTATCTGCATATATTTGTATGACTATCAAAATAAGAACATCGAAAATGTTACAAGCTTGGTTTGACGGAACTTGAACATGAAAGCTACAATCCATGCTCCTAGAACTGGTACCGCATTATAATCACCTGGGCGTTTCTGGGTCCTCGGGTTATACATGTGTTTTAAACAAACTCTCCTGGTACTCTTTTTACTAATAAAGCGCTTTGAAAATTGGTAAAATCTTCAGCATAAAACAATTATTTCGGGGTATTTATTTGTATATTTTTAATCGAATTTATGCTTGTAATTGAGACAATCGAATCTTTCGCAGTGGATTTTGAAACAAAAAAAATGTTAGCTTCCAAAACTATTAAATTCATGTCAATAGATACTTTTATAATTTGTCAGGGGAATTTCACATTGTTTGCACTGCTTTATTTCTAACTGGGATGGATTTGACATTAATTTGTATCTGAATATGGCCGATTTCTGGGGAAACTAGGTCGAATTGTCTGAAATCTTTCCCATATAACGTGTAACTTCTGTAGCTACGACACAGCAATTATATGTGTACCTTAAAAAAAAGAATAAAGGTAGCTTCGAGCGAAAATAGATTGTATAGAAAAAAAAAATTTGTGACGCTGATAATGTTTCAGTTAATTTTTATTGTATTTAAATACAAACATATTTTCTGATGAATGACATGAACTTTATACATATGCGCCATGTGTGTTATTTAACATTCATGCAAAATAAATTATAAATTTAAATTGAAATAAATTATAGCAAAATATATCCTTATTTTCAATTTTACCTGTTCACTTACCTTATACAATTTGATAAACATAATGTTACTTTAACAAATTCAATATACGTATATCAAAATTTGTAAACGTTAAACTAAAAGAGGTCTTCGTGATAGTTATATTTAATATATGAAACGAGTTAGTTACGTGGAAATAACACATCTCGGAATGTTTCTGCAAACAACAAAACTGTGCCAGCCTAACGGCCTCGCCAATTTTAATGGCATAGTCATCCCCAGCCAGTGTTATGACCCCGTATTTAACAAGTTTCATATATTATAACTGTTATATTGCAATTTAATAATTAATTTTTGTAAAAGAAACAAAACCGTTCAAGGTTGTTTCAAATGGAAACCCTAAATAGATTGAACCAATACCAGCTTTTTGTTGTCGTAAGCTACCTTACAGCTATATATAATAAGACAGAAAAACAACATATATTGAAAACAGAAAGACATCTTATGTTAGAGACGATAATTGGATCGATATTTTATGTAGAACTAAATTAAGATAGAACTACATTTATTTTCAATTCAATAACATGTGATAAATCATTTAAAAAGTATTTCATTGATAGTAATCCTCATAGTTCTTGTATTTAAATTATCAAACGTAGTTCTTGGAACTCCATGTGGTACGAGCAATGTAACTGCAGTTTGTACAACGCCAACTTCGGAATGTCCAGCAGCCGGCCAGTGTTCCTGTAAGGCAAATTTCGTGCAAGAAGACGGATTATGTCCTACTTGTTCGTATGTTTAGATGGTAAAATTGTGTATAAGTATTTACAAAGCAAGCGTAGGTTTGAATTATTGTTTTACTAGTATTTGTAGTATTATTGTGTCAAGACATTCACACTGAAACTATGCAAAACGTCAAATTACAAAAAAAAATACTGTTTTTTCTACATTCATTTCAAGCATTAGGCCAACATTGTACAGCAGACACGGACTGTGTATCAAATGCTGAATGTGATAAAACCGCACCAACTTGCAAATGCAAAGCCGGATTTGTTAAAACAAGCGGATTATGCGCAGAACGTAAGCAATTTTCTCATGACGATGACTTTAATGGTATTTTATGATAATCCAATGTTCAGTGACAGTTCATTTACAAAAGTAATGGCTTAGAATATGATTGCTGGCCATGAATTTAGTAATAATATTTAAATAATGAATCTTCTATTTATATTATGCCCATCCAAGGGTGTATAGTGAGTGAACGGTTGAATATCATAATACATTTTCATTTTGCTATAATTCCTATTTATTTAATAATAAAGTTCGCATAAACAATAAATAACGCAGAGATCTTAACGAAAATAACTGTAAAATGCATTAGAATTTACCTATAACGCTTTGTTTATAAAAAGAGTGGGGCAGTCTTTTTAGATTTTAAGCAGATTTATAATTTTATTGTAAACATTTTCCAATATCAACTGTTGGTCAAACACTATTTTGTCAGTCAATCTTTTGAAGTATCAAGTCAATTCAGCTCAACTTGACTATGAAAATATGAGCATAATGTCACTTTAAACAACAACACTAAAAAATCCGAAATTAGGCTGATCTCATATCTGATTATAATATTGTTACCTTAAGGCCGTTATGTGCTGTAAATCTTTTATCGAACCAAAAAAGCACAGTAAGTCTGTCCACTAAAATCGTATACAAAATTAAGAACCAGATACATCACATATTGTTCTATGCAAACAGAACTTATACGGAAAGCTACAATATAATTATGCAACTCTTCTTTCCTTTTTACCTGACAGAAGGAATTTGATAATTTGGCCAGATGGTGACAAAATTCTTCATGCTGATCATAGAAAAATATCAGTCAAGACTGCCTTAGCGACCCCCTGATTTCAACGACTCCCTGTCTTATCCGACCTTGTTTCGGTCCTCCCAACGTATTTCTCTACATAAATGGTCTGAATTATGTGACAAGCGACCCTTATTGTCTGGTCCCAATGCATTGCTTTGTCTGATTTAAACGACTTTCACACCTTTTAATTGTCCGTTTATCAGATAAATAATACCTGTTTTAACACCCACAGAGGGCCAAAATAATTAAGTCCAATTATTATCCAGTAGTCAGTACACTTCAAAAAACCTCTACACAACATTGCATCAATACACAGTTTACATGTACATACAGGTATCAAGTGACGTAGTATTTGGTTAGCATGGTGCAATCGATGTGTGTTAACAAATTGAGGTGTGAAGTACATAATGACCTGATCAAACTGGATTACGATTTTGTGTACTGTTTATGTAATGCCAACGGAAGATTTTTTTAGGCAGCATTTTTTCATTTCACCTTTCTATTGCTACATGAATTCTACGTGAAAATGTTGATAGATCTACCTTCCATTTAAAGAGAAAAAAACTTTGGATATGAATATGTCTTAAAGTATGATATTTATTTTAAGGATTTTGAATGCATCAGATTCAAGTTTATTTGTACTAAAATGATTCAATATAAATCTAATATAAAAATAAAATTTATTTTTATATGATATACATGCAATTAATTATAATGTTTTACAGGGATTCTCATTTTATTTACATCAAGTATTTAAAGAGGCTATGTTTATTTACAATTGGTTACATATTATTCCTTCACACAGTTATGTATTTTAATTTTCTTTGAGACTGTATTAAGAGACTCCCTGTCATATGTGACCATTTTCTGAGGGTCCCTTGGAAAGTCACATATGACAGTCTTGACTGTATACACACAATTAAGTGATTTTATAAAATTTCTTTTATGAATGAAGTGAATGTCAAAAAAGCGCGTATAATGTTCATTTAATGATCGCAATGTAATAACTATTGTTATATACATTTACATAATTAGTATCATTTAACTCCATCAGCGTCATCTGCAGTGTCTTTGAAGATTGCAATGAGCACTTTTGGTATTTTGATAGCCTCAAATATTATATTGAAAGCATTTTAAAGGTAAGATTTAAGATGTTGTAACTTTCTGTAAAAACTTCACTTAAGTAATAACAGAAAAAAATAGCATTTTACTAGGCTTCATCATTATTTACATTTATTTCGGTTGGGATATTTTCGTTTATTCTTGTCCAGTTATTCCCTGATATTTAAAGCACAATAATAATTCAGTAATAGTTCATAATATTATTTTCGATCGTATCATTTTATTTATTGCAGGTTATTTTGACAGAATGGATGTACGATCTAGAGCTACAACTGTATTTGTTTTATAAACGTCATATGTCAGAGGATTTTTCTCTGTGATTACTTAAATGCTTTTTGTAATCAGATCACCTGGAAAATAACGTTATTATAACGTTGTACGAAGATTATTGAATTTTGTTAGGTTTTTTTTAAATGAAATCACAAACAAAGAGTCATGGAATTTTTTAGTAACAAAGACATTAAATACTGCTCCCGGTTTATTGAAAATACGACCTAACACGTGATTTTGATATTTCAAGCATGTTTTGCTTTTCATATCAGTTTGAAATGTTGTCAATTTGGAAACTATTGAATTGTTTCTTGACACGATACTACAAATTTACGAAAGAGTTTGAAAATATAATAGTATTCGTTTGTTTAATAAAACGAGATGCAATACATTTTCTAATATAACATTTGTTACCGCACATAAATTCATACACCTTTAACTATGACTTTCTTTATTTTTAATGATGGATATGAAGTATGCATCAAAATAATTTCTTTGTAGATATATATTAATTTGCAATGCTAAATGTGCTTTTTAGGGTTACTTTGTGTTAGTTATTCTTTGCTGAGAAATAGTTTCTCACTCGAGTGATATCTTGATAGGTTCAACTCGCCTTTCATTTGCTGTGATCTGTTTTCTCTTTCATACCAGTGTTCACTTTTTTGAAAACAAAATGAGCAATTATTGTTTTATTTTCAAATGACCATCTTAGTAAAAATGCGACTTTGTTGCGTTTTTTTTTTAAAGATTAATTTTCACTTTATTTCTAATGCAGAACGTACTCGACATAAAGGTAACCGTATTTAAATTATATAATACAACAACAATAAAGCATCAGCAGCAACTGCAGTAGCAGTAGCAACAGCAACATTATCCATAAAAAACATTTTTTACCAAATTTGTACGAAAATGGAAATTTTACTGTTGAAGAAGTAAATGGATATGAAAAAAGTTAAGCTATATTAAGTGGCATATACTGGCATACATAATAGAACTAAAAGTTATGTTTAATCAATAGATATTTACAGAAGCAAATATCGAATATATCTGCATACTAGGCATTATTCCCATCGGATTGGCATATGAACATTCTAAATAATGTTGCTCATTTGAATTTAGATATTGTTAAATTTCAGTAAATTAAATGTTAATCAA